GTGTGAATTTACCAATACATATTGCGCCCGCGTGGGTACTATAGCCCTAGCTCTCGAATTGTGTGCCTATGCCTGACAATGTGACTATATAATAATAATAACGCAACACACTCATAGCCCCGTATTAGGGAAACCCTGTATCGCGAGTACCATGGACACATAATTAGACAACCTTGCATCTAAACATACGAAAGAAATTAATGTAGCCCATACCCATATTTCTCCCAACCTGGAAATCGGCAAAAATGCTGTTCTCACGCGTGTTCTTCGAACGTATAATGACCAATTTGGACATATTGACCCTTTCGTAGATTCTAAATACGGCTTCAAAACGAACGTTACGAATAGTCAGATACGTTTAATGTACTATATGTATGTATATACCTATTGATGGATATATTTAAATTATTTTAATGTTATTTTTCTCTCACTTTCTTGTTGGTTTTTCTTTTATCAGAGACAGGATAATTTAATTTCATTTGAATTTATTCATTCCTATTTTTATGTATTTTATTATACGTCCATTACCTGTAGTTATTTTAGTGGATAACTGTAATTGGCCTATACAAAAAGTGTTAAACATAGTATATTATGTTAAGGTTAGAATTGTATTAAGTATGGCTGTTGTTATCACAAATAAAATAAAAGTAAATAATATCGTAACCAACTTTATGTGCATAAAATTATAAAAAGATTATTTTACACTTGTTTTTAATATACGACACAAAGTTTGGTACTTTAAAAGAAATAGTAAATATTTTTAAATTTTTCATATTGCATCACAGTATTTAATTTTGACGTTGACAACACCGGCGACTACTATTTATCTCTTCCATTTTATAATCAAGTGTACAACGATCTCGATTACTTCGATTTTATTTTTTTTAGAATTTCTTAACATTTTAACAGGCATAATTTATTGTAACTGATATTCACATGAAATTAAGTGATTGGAACAGATTGAGTGGGACACCTTCCGCTGAAATCGTATGTTTAATGAATGAATGAAAGAATTTGCGATCAGGTAATTGTTTGCCTGGCACATCATTATTATTATATACATTACTAAAGTTACACAGTCGCGTTTTCATAAAACAAAGAACTGCCATTTAAAGCAAAATTAAAGAAGTAAGTTTTTAAGTAAAATGTAGAAAATAATACGTAGAACATTTTTCGTTTTCTCGCCTCTTCGCAATATTGGCTTTCGTATGAGATACGTGATGTCAAAGGCGTATTACCCGACGTGGTAGGGTATTGGTGTGCTTACCCTACTCGAGGATGACGGGGTAAATTGTAGTCCTTATGCTAAAGTGATTTTTATATTGCTCTTCAAGGTGCTTTAATAATATCATGCAAAAATAGGAAAATGTAACTTTGCATTCACTAGAGCGGCGTCTTAACAGACGATCTTGGTGTGTGTGTACTAGAATAGAATAGAATTCATTTATTACAACTACATGCATTGACTTAGAATTATATGGACGTCGGGTCCGCGCTAAAAAGTGTCCGAACTTATAGGGCGTTAAAATCGTATACACGCTTTAGTTTTCGTTTGTTCGACTGACAGTGAAGCAAGCAAAATTAGACAGTACTGCGATGACATTACAATTTAAATTCAACGTTTTAGCTTTTTCATATTCCTTTACATGTCACTACGTTTAAATAGGTTGACTTGGGACATTTTTTTCGTGTTTTTTGTATTAGACCCGTCGTCCATTTATTTGTAAGTCAATGACTACACGACACAAAAATATGCAAAAAGAAGTAAAAAAAAAGACAAAGCAAAAGAAAAAGAAAACAATGAAGCAAACATAATGCAATTTTAAAACAGTCAATTTGAATAAATGTCATGTTTGTGGCTAATAATAATAATAACAATAACGCACACACTCAACGTAGCCCCGCACTAGGGAAGCCCTGTGTCGCGGGTGCCATGAACACACACATAGACAACCACAATTTACACCCAAACTTACGAGAGAAATAAATGTAGGCCATACGAATATTTCTCCCGGCCCGGGAATCGAACCTGGGACCTCTGCGTGGCAATCCGGCATGGTAACCGTTCGGCCACGGAGGCTGTGGCTTATGTAAAAGGATCCACTCACCTAATGTCACAGACTAGATGAAATATCTACTAGATACGTAATGGATGAACACGTACTACAATACCGGCACGCTATGATGACCGTTTTCACAGATTACAATAGTGAGGTCAAATCTCAATTCATTATCGAAAAAAATATAATCAAATGCGAGTCGCATCTATAAGTTTTTAGATTTATAACTAGTATTACAAGGGGTAGCTGATTAAAAAGTTTTAATAAAACGAAAATAAAAATGTTTGCTTAATTATATATCGTCAATTCGCAACTGCTTGGTTTTTTTTCATTGGGGTTTGACGCGGGTTTGCCGGAGGTAGAAGTTGTGCTGGCGATCCTATAAGTGACGATCGTATCAGATTTCATTATTAAAAATTTCGAATTTCGAAAAGCGAATGCCGAGTTGTGTTGTAAAATTATTAGAGATGCGCTGAGTACAAGTTTTACCGAGTAACCGAGTACCGAATATTACTCGGTTTAACATTTGTCGAGCCGAGTACTCAGCCGAGTTACTCGGTTCATTACAACTATTGTTATTATTGTCGCGAGAGCAGAGTTTTTTCCAATGGCATGTGGGCAGGGCATAAAATAAGATATCCAAAACTGGCATAGTTACCACGAGTGTTTTTGTGTGCATCTGTAAGCACTGTGTATAGCGAGCGGTTATTTTCCGAAGCGGGTAATGTGTATGAAGAAAAAAATGAATAGAACGCGAAGAAAGCGTATTTCTACATCATAAATTGCCTTTGTTAAATTTTAATAATGTAAACTTTTTTTAACCCTTAAATGCATGATTTTTTAATTTAAGGTGAAACAAATATTTTTATATTGGTATTATATGGTAGATAACAGGAAAAATAATGAAAAAATATCACATGTCAAAAATATGAATATATTTAAAAAAACGGTATGTTGCCACTTGGCAACATCATGCGTTTATGGCAAAAAATATATATACTAAGAGTGGAAAAGAGCAAAACAGTTTCGCTCTTTTGTGTGGCAAAGTGCCACATTACATTTTGTGCACTCGGTGCGTGAAAAGCCTTTGCATCCAGGCAGTTTGGACCTATTCTTCTTTTCGCACCTTCTTTCATTGTGGTCAACTCCATCTCTTCTTACATCACGTACTGGGATGGATTTCATGGGGCCCCGCCGTTTCTTTGCTTCCAATTCCTTTTCCATGATGCTTTGCATGATGGCGCTATGACTAAAAAGTCCGCTGGTTCGTTCCGTGGCTTAGTTGATATAGCGTCTGGCACGGTAAGCTAGAAGACGTCGGTTCGAATCCGGCCGGATCGAAGGAATTTTTTCTGAGTGTTCGATCTTTGTATTAATAATTATAACAAACTAGTGGAGTAATTTCACAAAAATAATTGAATATCAATTCAATAAAAATTTAAAAATTAACTGGTTCTGATCTAAGGGTTAAGCACTCATAACACACACACATACACACAAAAAAGGCACATTCGACTCGTCACCACATTGCTTATTAAGTATACAGTGTGGTTACGTTTCTTTAAAAAAAAAGTCCATTGTACAGGGGGTCTACTCTCGATCTCCGTCCAACATCCGTCCGAAACAATTACTGTCAAATAATTAATATTCGACAAAATTAAAAGACAAGTCGCTTATTTGGTGCTACATTGATGTAATTGTAATTTTGGCAAATTTGGATAAAGGATGTTAATATGTAATTAATTAAGTCTTAATTCAATTATGCCAAAATTGCAATTAAGTCAATGTTGCACTAAATGAGCGAAGTATCAAGTATGAAGCTTCATTCGCGTCACGCGTCTTTTCATTTGGTCAAGTATTGCTTATTTGGCAGTAATTGTTTCGGACGGACCGAGAAATGACGGTCCGAAATGTCACAGGTTTCTGAAGTGTCATTTTATTTGTAAATGTATAAAGCAATACATACCATAAGTATTTCTCATATGTATGTAGTTTTATGTACACTACATATTATGTAGGTTTTCTTATATGTTCATTTATTTATTGTTGAGTTCTGTATTGTTGTCAATGGCTCACTCGCCCCGGGCTTGATGAAATTGAGCGCCACGAAACGGTTTTAAAAAATCCTGGAGATCTCTAATAAAGTCTAGTTTCCTGGTAATTGATAGTCTCTCCCTTGAGGTATTTAAGTTATACTTCATTTTAACTGATTTTCAATTTGTCATTTTTACAACCTTTTGTGACAGTGATTTAACGAAATACGTTTGAATACTAAGGACAGGTTTATTCGATACGAATTTCTCTTTGCTCACGCCACACGGAGACCGCGTTGCCGCGTCCATCTAACTGTCATGGCCAAAGTACGTCCTATTTATTTAGCTTTTACGTTTTAACTTAAATGAGCGTCCCGGGCGCGCGGGCGAGTCTGGTTTGTCTTCGGTCTACGCGACAATCGCGCGGTTGTATTCTTCAGAGTAATTTAACCTTCCAGTGGTCGTACCCTTGCGCCGAACATAAGCAGTCGCGTGCGGTCTGTGAGACCGCAAGTTCAGTTTGAGAAGAAAGAAAGTCTTTTATCTATATAAATGAAAATAAAAAAACATTATTTATTTTTTTAATTTGTTCTTATTAGTTGAACAGTCCATAAAAATTCAGAATTTTAGTCATATGACACAAACAACGTCAAAAATCAACAAAATAACAAAATAAGATGAAATTTTCTATCTTAATCGTTCATAAGCACACTATAATAGATTATTATTGAGATCAATCAATATTGTCGTCAATTGCACAATATTGTAGGAACTCTAAAATCATAATTATTTTTTAATGTTTCTTTCATGATGTTCTACGTACTATCTCAATTCTTATAAAATAAAAAAGGAAAACAAAACAAAAAACTTCTAACTTTTTTTAGGAGCAGATAGTACAATAACCTACTCATTATCAGTAGCAATGGTTTGACATCATCAAAATCTTCATCTTCTATTTCCGCTTTCTCTGCAAGCCGTTCTGATTCTTCGTAACTCATGTTATGTCTACAACAAATAGTGAAATAATAAATAATTTAATGTTTAATACATAAAATAATGTAATTTTGTAAGTAATACAGAACAAATAACACGAAATACTCACCCAGGCGTCAATTTCTTCCATGAATTTTTCTGGAACACGACCGATCGCGCGCGGAATCTGAGACCGCATACACAAATAAAGACACATGTGCGCTTGCGACCAATGTCACAGGGTTAAGGGGAAGTACCTCACCCCCTCGAGGATATCACTGTCGCGTAACCGTTTATTGTTTATAGTTTTTGTAAAATGACTAAAATAAGTTCGCTGCGGTCTCTGAGACCGCGCGCTACCGTTGGAAGGTTAAATGTTGTTGCCTAGTAAATAGAATTTAGATTCGCCATTAGTGTACGTGAAAGCGTGGTAACTGGGCGGTCACCGCGCGGCATCCGCGCGAAAACTTTCTCCTCGTGTAACTGGGCGCTAAAGGTCATGTTATTTTATTGACGGTATTGATATGAACGTGCTATATTACCTTTCTCACTGTTGAACATGGATCATCCCTCATCCCTCTCTCTGATCTTAATCCGAGCTCAAGTACGAAAACAATCGTAGAAATAAAAAATATTTCACGTTATCAGTATAAATAAACCAAGAAAGTAACAAAATTATCTACTAGAAGAGATAGTGTGTTATATATTATAAATATTAATATAAATTGAGCTGGGACCAGTAGCTTAGGAGTACATTTATCAGCCGGTCGCAGACGCGCCACGGATCCAAGACGACACCTTTTTAGTCGCCCAACATTTATAACAGGAGAATGTGGATATAAAGTATTACAAGAAGCGAATGATTTTAGAGTTTTATTTACGTGAATTCTAATTGTAGTTTTATTTACCAGGCATCTCTAGCTACATAGAGTTTTTAAATATAGTGTCTGGTTAAGACATAGCCTAAGTGGGCGTTAATAGGATTACAGGCAACAAAAGAAACTCCCTATAAAATAACTTTTTTAAATCCGAGAATTACAGAGTATTAAACACATTACTGCCTTAATTTATACACACAAGAAACGTGTTGCGGTCCTTATGGTCAAGTAGGAATCGTGCGATGAAACAAAAGTTTAGAATTTTCCCGTGCACTCAAGACGTAGTTTCTGTGCAACGCCTTCAGGCGGCGCTTGTGTTTTATCTGTGTAGTTTTGCCGGTAACCCTCTACCTATGCTGTACACTCCCTTTCGTGCCACCACTTTTATATAGCAACAGTATTGATTTTAAAGTGCGATTTTTTTTAAATGGCTGTAGAACTCCTTTTGAAACAGTTCGCCTAGGGCAGTACTGCCGTCAAACAACGTGAGCATTACTGCGTTCCAGTTTTGCAGGCAGGAAATTACAGTCTAATGGGATATGTCATTGAGTGACAGGCACAGTGGCAGTGCCCCTCAGATCTTTGCGGTTTAAAACCCTGCAATTGTCAGGGATAGGCGTGCCGCTTACTATCAGGCGCACAATTTGTTCTTCCTGTCGCTTGATATCATATTAAAAAATATGCATGTGATTCATTTTCTTGAAAATTTATATCAGCGCCTTCAAATCCACCATGTGAATCTTCCTAAACAAATTTCAGAATTATGGGCTTTCCTAATATTAAACAAATAACACGACTCTGTTCTGTTCGTCTACAAGATGTTTTCACACCTTGATGTTTTGACTCTGTCAATAAATAAACAAGTATATCATCGGCGAATAACTATTTTTTACGCATGTCGTAAGTACGAAAAGACGATTCAATTTTTTTTTTGGTTTTCTTGTAAAATTTATATTTAAACGCTTTATTCCTTTTGATTCTCGCTAGGACCATAAATTCTAAGTTACGTGCCTTTGCAAATATTTACAAGCAATATTTCTCGATAATGCAGAAAAAAAAACATCGTGATTGAACGAAGAAGGATCCCAACCCTTGGGAAACGTGTCTTGTAGCCACATTGGGTGAACGTGCACAGCAGTGAAACGTATAATGGACTAAATTTAGCTTAAGAGTGTATACAGAAAAGTATACATGTTTCGTAAAAATAACAACCGAGAAAATATTCATACTAAATTTAGCATTAGCTTTAATGAAAGCTATAGAAATTATTGTTGATGTAATGTTGTAGTAAAAACGTCTAGACATTGATTACCGAGGTAATCATAGGCTTTTGTTATTGGCTGTACTTATCAACGTCGGTAGCGAGATCTTCCAGTAATTCTTTGTATCTTTGTATGAAGTGACTTCAGACTGGAATAATTTATCTTGGGAGCAATCAAGACGGTAATTTTCGTGAAGAGTTGGCTCTGGAACCATTTTAGCTCAGTTTCAACTTTCACAAATGACGTTATGTTGAGTAACAAAAAAAAAATGTTCAAAAGTTTTTATCGTAAGTAGTTAAGTTATAGTGGCACGGTTCAACAATCGAGTGCTTAATTTTTAATGTTTTATTATCCAGCGATATAACTTCTTCTTATCGCATCTGTAGCGAATTGCTAGAAATCTCTTTGTATATATTTTATAATATTGTCTATTTTAAGCTTAGTTTTATATTTCAATTCTAAATTTAAATGTGTTTGTTATTTTATTATGAAAACTAACATGGTTATCACCATACAAATAGGTCAATGGTTATCACACATTATAATATAAAAGTAACGGGACTTACTCGTGTAGTATTTTAGTCGGAAGCGGTCAGACTAGTTTTGACCATAATCGATGGTCTTCTTCAGGGGTTGAGTGCAACGTTCACGACCGCGTCACGTCTAGCACAGTGCTATACGTGACGCGGTTTCCTTAATATTATAATGTCATTGACTTACAAATAAATGGACGACGGCTCTAATACAAAAACCACGAAAAAATGTCCCAAGTCAATCTATTTAAACGTAGTGACATTTAAAGGAATATGAAAAAGCTAAAACGTTGAATTTAAATTGTAATGTCATCGCAGTACTGTCTAATTTTGCTTGCTTCGCTATCAGTCGAACAAATGAAGACTAAAGCGTGAATGACGCTCTGTATACGATTTTAACGCCCTATAAGTTCGGACACTTTTTAGCGCGGACCCGACGTCCATATAATTGTAAGTCAATGTATTATATAATGTATTTGTTTCTGGCGCCTTGTTCTTGACTTTATCTAGGGTTTTTGCTTTGATGGCTACATGGTGTTTTGTAATAAAAAATAATAAACTGTAAGCACATTTGCATGGCCTTGCGCACTCGTTGTTAGCACCCACCCTTTAAACTATTGATAAAGTGTGAAGACAGCATTAAGGGTTACACTGGTCGATCAAGCACCTAAACCAGAAATCTTAGAGACTCTTCTTTTGGAAGCCGAAGCGATCGTAAACAGTCGTCCTCTAACACATGTAGCGGTGGGTGCCAATGACCTTGACCATACACTCACTCCTTTTCATTTTTTATTAGGCACTTCATCCTACCAAATTATCTTAGGCTTAGATAACCGTGACCTCATCCGCAGGGTAGAGTGGAAGAAACCCCTCCGTCTGGCTGACCACTCTTGGTCCCGGTGGGTCAAGTAGGTACTACCCGTCTTTCAAAGCCGACCTCCTGGAACTCCCCAAACTCCTTTAAATGTAGGCGACTTGGTAATCATCGCCGTTGACACGTTACCTAGAGGTGTATGGCCCAAAGGTAAAGTACTCCAACTGTACCCTGGTAGAGACGGTGAGGTTAGGGTCGCAGACGTGGCGACTCGTGGCGGCACGCTGCGTCGTCCCCTAAGGAAAATAATTAGGATGCTTGTAGACTCCGTAGCATTCGTGGATCCAATAACTGTATAGGTGGTCCCATCCATTTCTCCGCCCGGATGATGTAGCGAATCGCTACAAATTTGTTTGTAATTATTTTATAAAATATTCTTTTTAGAGCACAGTTTTATATTTAAATTCTAAATTTAAATGTGTTTGTTATTGGCTCCTTTTTCTTGACTTTATCTAGGGTTAGGGTTTTTGCTGTTTTGCTTACATAGCTACGTGGTGTTTTCTAATTAAATTAATAAACTGTAAGTACATTTGTTTGGCCTTGCTCACTCATTGTTAGCACCCACCCTTTAACCCATTAATACAGTCCGCTACAGCATCGATATCTTACTCTATTATTATTATTTTCTTTATTTTTCTCAGCTTGTTATCTGGTTTGAACTACACTTGCGGACCGAAATCAAGCAAATGCAACATGTCTGTGTGGAGGGCGGTGGTGGTGGGTAAGAAAAGCCTACTTCGTTCTTTTTCATCTGCAAGAACCTTCTGACAATGCGACAAGTATTAATATGAAGGGATGGCTGCCTGATTCTGTAACAAGTGGTACATGTTTAGTGGAAGATTCAGGGAATGACTGACGGAGGCAATGACTTGTGTAGCTGTTTGGGAATGACGCCTGTAGTTGAAATAACTATTGGTAATATTAAATAAAATTAAATTTTATTTAATATTACCAATAGTTAAATGCCATATTCTGGTTATTTCGTATTTTAATTCCGTGTATTTATTAGTATTATTTTTAATTATTGTGACCCAGAAGTTATTGACGCTACCCGTGTCAATGTTATCGCCGGCGTGATGAAGCGTTGGACATGTTTGCCATCGTGATGACAGAATGTGCCAACCGGTATGACGAACTCTTGACTCTTGCTCAGGGTTTGCCAGACAGAAGAGGACTTGAAATAGTAGGTGCGCCATATCGAGTGGGGCTCCTTTCGTGCACCCCATGGTATATCTGACTGGTAACATTAATAGGAGAGCTTATTACCAATTTCACCATTATTAGTATAATTCAAAGGCATAACTGGTCCGAAAGGTCATCGTAGTTAGCTTGTATAAGTCCATTGCTGGGCAGGGGTCTCCTCTTATGAAAGGGTTTAACCGATCCGGAAAAATGCCTCTAAATAGCTTCTCATACGTAAGGAGAAAGGACCAATCCACGAATTGTACTGATTGTTTGTGACGTGGTGGAGGATGTACGAGAATACCATGTCATGATGGAGTGTGTACGGAATGAAGCCCGAAGATGTTTTTTTATAGTTTAGATTGCAATTTGGCAGAGTTGGGTGTATGTAACATTTTCTTATCGTCCCCAAGATCAAAGGAAGCAAAATTGTTATACAGATTAGTTCATATGGGAATTAAGCGAAGACCGTAGATGATGTTCAAAGAGCCCGTCATTATGGGGGTGACATTTTCTAAAAAAGGAAAAGCTTAAGCTATAGTCCGCTAACACCCCGTTCATATATAAAAGTGTTTTCATAATGGCCAAAAAATTACCTAAGGTAGTAAAGTCTGAGAAAAACCTTATGCTATTAAAAAAAAAACAATTTTTTTTTATTTTAGATTAATGTAAAACCGTTTCCGGATTTTTAAACGGCAATTTCTTAACCTCGTTCCAATTATCAAATTTGAATGTTTATTTTGACTTCAATCAAATTATTATTTATATAAAATAATTTTTTTTAAACCTTTGTTTTAATGTGTATTATTTATAGAGGGTTTTAACATGTCACCTTCATAATGACACACAAAATATTAAAAGACCGTATTACACTTGTTTAGCCTGTCCAAGGGCATGTGAGTACATGTATAATATATACCTTCAGTATGCCTAATATTTGTCCGGATACAGTGAAACCAGACGTATTTTGTACTGTATATCAACTTCTATACAACCCGAGATTTCCATACATAAATTAATTATGATTTAAGGTGCTTTTCTACCGGCAAGCCAAGACGAGATGAGACGAAGATTGAAATTTGTATAGCAAAATTTTAATTCTCTCCTAGCGCATCTTCAGTGGAAATGGTCTGGATTGACGGGGATCGGCGAGGTGAGAATTGAAATATTTTTTGATGTAATATTTAACCATATTGCTGTCTACTCAGAGTATTATACTCTGCAACGGAAATACGATTTCCTGCGCGAGTTCGGTATAGCTATTAATATGAATCGCAAGATTGAAGGGTACGTACGATTTGAGATTTAAAAAAAGATTTGAGAGAGAGAGAGAGAGGCTACATTTGATTCTTCTTCCGTTAACATACTTAATAATAATAATTTGCGGGACATGTTACTTCAGCTATGTGTTCATCGCTAGGCGAACTGAACAGCACTGAATCTTCACTATAGAACCACAGCGCGAGCTCGAGTAAAAGTGCCATGGCTCACGCGATCTGTTAATTTTAACTAATTTTTGGTAGAAATAGGCTGGCGAGATTTCAATTCTCGTCTCCCCTCGCTGATGAAAAACCACCTTTATCGTATGTTAAAAAAAAAGTGTTACTATTGTCGCTGTCTTACTGTCTGAAGTGGGAATACGGTCTTAAATAAGAACATCTAACACATAATCCTTTAAATCAACATGTAGGCGACGCCTACCAAATAGTCAATTTGCTTTTCACGGCGCGATCATACGCAGACGTCATACATACTGCGACTAAAGTATTCAGGGTGAATCAAAAATAACCAAAAATAGAATAATAGACATTTATAAATATATCGTTTCTTACAACCTCAACTCAACTCTTCGTGGAAGAGTCCATCCGGGGAAGTACTGTCATCTTGTCTATGTCTGCCGCCAAGCAGTAATTTGAGCATTATTGCGTTCCTGTTACGAAGGGTGAAGGTGCTGGTACCGGACGCAGTGGGAGAACTCCTCAGATATTTCCGATTTAAAGCTCCGAATAGCACTTCAACTGTTAAGCACAGGCGATTCGCTTTCCACCAGGTGCACGACTTGTTCGTCCCGTCACTTGTACACATATTCCATCAAGAGTGGCAAATTAGGGAATGAATCCAGTTTATTGAATGTATATTGAAGTGTTTTACTTTATTTCATTTACAACTGACGATATCTACAAGTCTATTCTAAATCCCAATTCAAAGGTATGAGTTAAATATCATTTTGGACGTATTTGAAAAAAATGTTTCTTACCATTGTTTTCAGATGCTTTGCTTGTGGTATCGACAATCATGCTGCTGCTCCGATGATTAAAATTCTATTTCGTCTTTAGTTTTACCTTCGCATTTTTTAAAATAACATCAAGTGACGGAACGAATAAGTCGTGCGCCTGATGGTAAGCTACACGCCTGTCCATAACAGTTAGTGCTTTCGATTGCAAAGATCTGAGGGGCACTACCACTGCGCCCGTCACCCTGAGACATAAGTTGACAAGTCCCATGAGCCTGTAATTTGACCAGCAACCTTACCCTTCAAAACCGGAACACATAACATCTTTATTTTGTAATCCATCTCAATAACACCCTGTATAACATGTATCAACATGTTTGAATGTATGCAAGCGTGTTATGACAGGAATCTCGACGACCTCCAAGGACCGGACTAGTCAATATTTAGATCAGCCTGAACCAATTTACAATCTGGATGTATTCACGTATGCAATTTGCATGTTGCACATTTCATGCTGTTTTCATGTACTGTACGGTTTATATGACCCTGTGTTAAAGTACATGTTACTAATGTTGATCCCTCATTTCAAGTTAGATGGGAAATGTTAGCGAGTATTCAATTTTCTTCTTAGTTTAATAAAGAAATTGTAATTACTGTGAAAATTACTGTTCTGGGCATTGACTTATAATTATATGGACGTCGGGTCCGCGCTAAAAAGTGTCCGCACTTGTAAGGCGCAAAATCGTATACAGAGCGCGACACTCCGCTTTAGTCTTCATTTGTTCTGTCAATGGTTCTGGGTTTATAATTGTTAATTTTATTTAAGAATTGATACCACCTCTAATGGCTTAGGTTGATTCCGTATTGCAGTGAAAGTGTTGAATTAATCCCAATGGAAAAAAATATATAGTAACATTGAGGATATACACGGTCCGATATATCCGACCGGATCGAAGGAATTTTTTCTGAGTGTTTTTTCTGAGTGTTCGATCTTTGTATTAATAATTATAACAAACTAGTGGAGTAATTTCACAAAAAATAATTGAATATCAATTCAATAAAAATTTAATTAATACAGTGAATAGCGACATCTCTCGCCAGGACTGGTAGCTGTAAAGGTACTAACTGGGTGATAAATCTGTAATAGATTTCTCATAGATGGCGCTACGACTAAAAAGTCGATATACACGGTGTTAAATTATGATTCTTAAAAATTTTCACGATGGAAAAAAAAACACAAACACCTCGAATTTTACAAGACACCAATGATCGTTTCTTATATCGTCTGATCCAAATAGAACACGTACAGTATACCATACACATTTTTCAAATAGCTGTAAAAAAAATTAATTTAATTATAGTCCCTGCTGCTCGACCCAAGCAATATGAACCGTATTAGTACGGGAAAAACTTAAATTCGAGCCGAGGTAGTATCAATTCTTAGTAAAATTCAATATAATGTACGGTAATTTATAATCTAATAAATAATATTTGTAAGCACGTACTGACAGTAATTTTTAACCGACTATATTGTGTGTACTTTATGCGACTACCACGGCATTTGTGAACCGTTTTGATGATTCTTTTTTTTTTGTTGGAAAAGAGGGTACCTAAGTATTAGTCCCATTTGAATTTAAAGAAAATATATCACCTCTTAGGGTGGCAAAATAGGGGATGAATCCGGTTCCGAGCACTTTCCGGTAATTTCAATGAAACTTGGCAAATAGATGTAATACCACGAACTTTTGAGGTTGGTTTTTTGAAACAAGCCAGCTCGACATCCGCCACCGCAAGTGGTCGAATGGCCATGTCCTGCCACTTAGCGGGATGTCCACAGGTACGTGTAGAAAACAATAGACGTATTATTCTTTTTATGCAATAAATATGTAGGAGAATAAATAATGGTTATGGAACATTGCTAACAAATATCATACGCGATGTCAATGTACAATTGTCCAGAGCAGAAGAGCTCCTTGTGAAAGAGTTTCAAGTCAAAGGAAGTACTGCCACCTTACTTATTTCTACCGCCAACAGTAATGTGAGCATTATTGCCATTGACTTACTAATAAATGGACGACGGGTCTAATACAAAAACCACGAAAAAAATGTCCCAAGTCAACCTATTTAAACGTAGTGACATGTAAAGGAATATGAAAGAGCTAAAACGTTTAATTTAAATTGTAATGTCATCGCAGTACTGTCTAATTTTGCTTGCTTCGCTGTCAGTCGAACAAACGAAGACTAAAGCGTGAATGACGCTTTGTATACGATTTTAACGCCCTATAAGTTCGGACACTTTTTAGCGCGGACCCGACGTCCATATAATTGTAAGTCAATGATTATTGCGTTGCATTTTTTAAGGGTGCTTGTGAAATTTCAGGCACCATGGGACTTGTCAACTTATGTCTTAGGGTAACAAATGCAGTGGCAAAGCCCCCAGATCTATGCGATTTAAAGCTCTCGAGTGGCACTGCAACTGTTATGGACAGGCGTGTAGCTTACCATCAGGCGCGCGAATTGTTCGTCCCGTCACTTGATATTATAAAAAAAATATCTTATACGGCAAAGAAAGTGTTACCATGTCAATAATTTTCAATTAAGTGAGGCGTACTGTAAAGTAAGGCGCTCTCTAAAGTGCAGCAAGCTGTAAAGTACGGCAACCTATGTGTACCAAAAAATAATCATAATTTAAGGGAATAAGATTTAAATTGAAATACCTTTTACAACCACGCAAAATTTATTATTATTAAATAATAACCAATAAAAAAACGACAACAATCACTGATAATAATAACTTTGTAAAACAAGTTAACAATTCTTATGCGTAATTAAGTGATCAAATCGCATGATTTGAGTATAAATAACTAATTAATAAATTAAAAATAAAATGATCACATAATTTATTTAATTATATAATATATTCTACGAAAGGCGTCACACAAGGCAATATCCTGACACCATTACAATTTATAACACTCGTGACTATTTGCAAGTACATTAAGCACCAATAAGTACTACGGAACATTCTCCGAGATTCGATTACGCAGACAACAAAGTAAATAGATTTAAATTGAAAACATTGTTCAGTGCCAAAGATCCTGTAGCATTTAAATTTAATAGCGGTTAGGCGACTCTCTATCTTTAAGCCACGCAGAACAGTCACGGCTACAAAATGTTTCGTTTAAACTTCGCTACATTTAATTCACGCGTTTGTCCTATCTGACATTACAATGTACGGTACACATCAGACTCCACATTTTTTTTCGAAAATCGCCTCCAGTGCTACGGAACAAGATACGTCAATGTGTAGCTTGATGCGCTGGCGTGTGTACAACCAGAGGTGAGCAATTGTTAGCGCTTGGTTTACATCGGGTTAAAACCCATTAATGCCCGAAATCGAAGACAAACTATTTACAACTAAATATTTGTTGTAAATCGCGTTTTATTCAAATTTAATGATATTACTACAATATGTTGATTGCTTTCCGATTTAGACGATACGATTCGCCTATCTATTCAATCGATTCGCTCAATAATCGCATTGAAATAAATCGATACAAAAAATTGTTAGTGCGTTCAAATCGACTTGAATCGATTTTCATAAAAATCGTAAAGTGCATCCTTAGTAGTGAGAACCTACAGGTTTGCAAGGTGGGTATTGTATGGATTTGCCTTTTTATCGTCTAGAAAATTTGTAAGAAGTACGAAATTATAAGAAAAATTTCGTATTCGCTGCTTCCGCTCACGATTTTGGGCCGAAATGGATTAAAACCCGGTTAAAACCGGGGCGGGTTGATTGGATTTTAACTCACTGCCCATCTCTGCGTACAACTCAAACCATTACGTACTTACCATCCTTGATGTTCAATATCCTAATAAAAGTAAATGTGTTAACTTACCTGTTTTAAACAATTTGTAAATAACTCATATGACTCGTGTAATCAATAACTTGAATTATTATAATTACGTAATTATCTTTAAAATCGCCTTAATAAAATGTACCAAACATATAGAAAATAAATATAAAGATAATTTAAAAAAATATTACAGCAAACGAGTATTGTTTAGAGTCGCTTGTTACATTATCATACCAGACAATAATTTATAGTGCCCTATATCAGTTCTATCTGGTTTTAATATATTAAGTATACAGTGCAAGTTATTGTATATGTGTGAAGTGTGTAAATTGACCTGTACAATAATTTCTTAGCTACATTTCTGTCTAACCCAAAAAGAAACATAATAATCTCTTAATTAAGGACACAAGATTCGTATGTAGGTATCATATACTTGATATTGATGAAGGCATCAGGTCCACCGTAGCGTTCGAGTATCTGAAGGGTGTCTTCTATCAGATCCGCAACGTTCTCCCCGCGACTTGAGGTATGATCAATACCAGCACCGATGTTACCTGTAATTTAATTACGATAAATATAAACGATAGCATATACTTTATTGTATTTTGCATCTGTTATGCAAATATGGTTCCTAAATGCGTCAACAACTTTTTGTTGCTGTGAAAAAACAAATAGAAAAAGTTCCAAATCAACATTTTTTTTCCATTTCTGTTAGTATTTTAACAAAGATACAAGCAATAATAGTCTATCATATATTTTTTGTATTGTACAGTATCCAATTAGCATGAATGAACATCGACCGCATACATTAATTTCCGACTGCTACGTATGCATGTGTGACTAGACTTGACATACCAACAAAGTCCCCTCAAACATTTTCGCGTAAATCCTGCATAGATTCACTAACGCGATCACCCATCAATCACCGAAATAATTGACACAACGTACAGAACGTACATTGTTTTCAGGTTTCAGACTAATAGACTTGTCAGCTCGCTCGAGTAGATTAATTACCTGCGAGAATAAATTTCAGACACGCAGCGGCCACACGAGACCACATTGTTAGAATGCTGCGAGCGTTTGTTACCTTCAAATTTGGTATTATAGAGAGGAAAATGTACGTTACGTCAACAAGACATCAACGACAGAAAAAATATACCACAATACAGACGCTAATTTTATTACTATCGTGATGGATTTAACAAATGCTTTTGAGAACATGAATAAATGTTTAATTTCTTTATTTATAGTCAGTTTTATAAAAAATATAAATTAAATCAATAGCAATAAAGTTCAAAATTTAGAATCGGTTTCAAAAATTTCGGTGGTTGTGAGGGAGCGCACGTCGTTGATTTAATATGAAATGTTGACGTTGATCGATCTCTTTCGTTGATCATCTCTTTCATTACGGTGATCGATATCTTTTGTGACGTTGCGGTTCACATTTCGAATAAACGGCACCTGTATTTCAGTATGAATTTAGATCGAAGACGACAAGAATTAAAGTAATTTCATAGGGAGTTCCTTAAGGTTCCATCTTAAGACCAGTTTAGTTCTTTGGATATGAAATGGTGAGAAAATTCAAACAAAGTGACAAATAATTTGACAAGTATATCAACTTGTAAGTACATACGTATAATGCTTCCTGGTAAAGAGAAGCTAATAGACCAGTCTACTGGAGTAGATTAATTACATGTGAGAGAGCGAATTCGAAGCGCGCGACGTTGACACCCCGACCGCATTGTTAGGGAATTCTACTCGTGCGTCTCGGGTTTTTGTGAGCTTTCCGTGTGAAGGTAAATAAGTGTGTTGATATTTTAGGACGTTAGGAGACATTACGAAGAAGAATTCACACGTCTTTATAATGATTAAAATAAAAAGGACAATTGTACTGTATTTTTTATTTACTTTTACAATCATAAAATCAAAATAGTACGCAAGTAATTCTAGTACAATCAAAATAAGTCAAATCGTATAGACCCAAAATAAAATACCATTTTTTATAAGATTTTCAATCAGCCTGAAGAGACATTATTCAAAATGTGACTATGCTGATTCTATTAAATTACCAAAGCTTCACTTTCTGAGCTAATTCTCTTTTACGAGAGATCCAACCTCGGTAACACAATAATCCCGTAAACTTCGGCGTGCTAAATGAGATGATACATTTTTTTACGTTATGCCTATCGTCAAATAGGAAACAAAGACACCTTGCGGGGTAATTATTCGAAAAATGCTTTTCATAAAGCGTCATAGAGAGAGAGAGAAATTCGTTTCGCGTATTTGTGTTAATAGTCAAAACTAAACATTTTTGAGTTATCACTACACATATTATTTTGAAAACCTGTATTTCATAATATATTTTTATGAAGAAACAAAAAATTGTGTCTCATTTTTTGTTTTAATAAGTTGTTTACAATAAAACAGAGCAATGAATGGCCAGATCATCTGAACAGCTTATCGCTTATTATAAGAAACCTTCTTACCAAAACTTCTGAAGAATTTCATAATGACTCTAAAAGTCAGTCAAATTATCACAAGCAAAGTGGCAAATTTCAAATCAGAAATCTTGCAAACAAACTTATGAACCCGAAACTCCGAAAGTCTATTACGTTAAGAGATAGCCTTGCGTTTCCAAACTCTGAAATTACCCTTGACGCTAGACATTTATAATATTTATTGGAATTGAAGATTTCTTTAGGTAATATTTATTTATTGAAATGTCCTATAATTGTGTGTAATGAAAACAATAGCCGTGCGTACGAATGAGATTAATGAAGAAAATTCGCCCCAACTTTTCTAATCAGTTTACTAATAATATGAGAATGAGTCAGCCATAACCATGGGACCGGGAAAGAGCCCGAATTGTTAGTATGTTTGAAAAAACAAATATAAGATCCGAAAAAGAAGAACTCGATATGAGAATTAATGTTTCAGAATCATTTCATCATGTAGGGAATTTCCTTCCCTTTTTCTTTATCTTGTTTGTTCACATATTTTAGGAGTGGGATTACATATGTACACGTATGAGATCGCGGGCACATCTAACAAAATTGTTTTACAAAAAGAAAGTGTTATAACATCAAAATCGTCAAAAACAAAGAATCATATAAAATTTTTGTCACCCACATAAAAAACAAATCATGGCCACGGAGACCCAAGCGTATCCCAAAAGTTGCCTGGTTTATGTTTGCCTAACGAGTGTTTTGTCTCGTGCGGCCGCTAACGCCTCATTTCTCTTTGCGAAATAGTTGCGGCTGAGGTTACGGGGTGTCGTTTTTGCCGGCTTCGGTAGGCTAATGTTTCGTAAATTGCGTGTCACATTGTACCTGCTTCGTTTTTGTGCGATGTTTTAGGTGTTTCCATAGACCTGGTGTTAAATTTGCGCTAATATAATCTAATTCTGCTCATAAGTTCACTATTTACATCAAAATCATATTTATATGCGCTTGTAAGTCTTTACAAGCGAAAATTAGTAGTAGTAGCTTAAACAAAATATCACATTTCTATATTCTACAACGAACCACTAATAAACAACCAATTTTAGTACCTTACTAAAAACACTAGCATTTGGACATTATCGTTATGAACGATCGGTAAAATACTGTTAATTAAATTCCACATTGAGAAATAACATATAAAGCTGAAATCATAGAGTTATACACCAGTAAAAAAAAAAAACAACAAAAACCTGCGACATACCTCGCTTAAAATTGGTGTTATAAACAAATGATTTTTTGTCTTATGCAATTTAGATCGTGATAAGGCGTTTGACTTCGATCGACTTCAAAACGATCGATATTGATCATTGCATTGTATTGATCATAACACGCAAAGTGCATCTATTTAGAACTTTTTGAAGTTCGTATCGTTTGTCGATAGCTTTTTACTTTCAACGTCACAAAAATTTATGAAGCGAATATACATATTTAAGCAAATGAAAATTAATTAGCCAGGTTATTTGATACAGGTTAAAATTTCAAAACGTAACTCACGATTCCTGTCCTTGAAGAGGTTGAGTGTAGGCAGTATCTGTCTGTAGTATGGGACCAGGGCTTCTCCCACTTTGTCGCAACCAGTTACAATCATTTGAATGCACTTTAGAGCGTGACAAATTACTGCGGGTCGCTTTGTCTCTAGGGCACCTGCAAGAAATATAACAATCATTGACGACTTTTGTGGTTCCAAGGTGCTTGGCGGTGCGAAGGTTCTGGTCCGGGTATTACGAGTGACGTTTTCAAATTTTAATCCCACTATTCTTCGCCTTATTTTGTTATTGGCGGCGATTTTAAGGTTTTGCCAGAATCAAGTTTTCAGTTTAGTCATTAAAGACTATTGGCAGATTCTGTTATTCTACCGAGTATTTTGGAAGCACACTGTGAGCCATACAATCAGACCTATTAAATTTTTAATTTTGATGATGACCGTTTATTATTACCTTAATTAATACGTAAATATTAATATCAAGAAACGTACTGTCAGGTGGCACCAGCAGCGCGATTCAGAACTCTTCGGTATTTTAACCGAATCGTTCGATTGGATACGGTTCTCGAATCGAAGGACGCGTTCCAAGCTATTTAGAATATTCGAGTTAAACATTCGATTTGGATACGATATTTTTATCCAACAGCGTTTACGGAGTTAGTCGGTGAAATAAGAATAGAAAAATGAAAATCCTTTCATATACATTTTTAAGACTTTAAAGGCCTAAAATGAAGGAATGCCTTGCATTCAAATAAATGGATAAAACAAAATCCAGACTTTATTTAAAATAATAAGAGATTTCCATATTACATTCTTGCTTTGTAAACAATAGGACGTTCGATAACTTTCATTCGATAACTGTGTTCTGAATAACGTTTGTAGCCTTTGCCGGTCGAGACGTTCGAGTAATCGTACGGGTGTGACGTCATTTCGGTTCGGTTTCGAATACGACAGTTTGACGTTCAATTCGGGTGTTGTGAATAAAAACGAAAAGAAATCGTATGATATCAAAACGAATCGATCGACTACAGAGTTATCGTAAGGTGCTGAATCGACCTGCTGACTGATTAAAACCTTGAGATTGACATTTAATCAATTATTGATAATTACTAATAGAATGACACATCCAGTTAGTAATTATCTGACATTGTAACTTATCATAATGAAGTAAAATATTATTATGTAAACAGAGATATTGTTTAAATAAAAATATTAAATTTAAACCAAGAACCAAATAACCAAACCGCCAAAGTGAGCAGCTATAAAGTAGCCCAGAAGATGGTTATGAATCGTGAGGAGTGAAGGAGACCACACCGGCAAGAGCCTGACCCTTAAATAGGATGATGATGAACCAAGAATAATGCACAATATATAATTTTTTTCATATCCTCATGATATACCATAAAATATTATCTTATAGGTCACCATCCATCTACAAAAACATTCATTTGTCTATATTCCGACTGTCGCTTCATAAATACATACTTTTCTACTGATATTTGCACATTTAACTCGTAAAACTGAGCAATATCTTCGTTTTTTAATTCATGAGAGTAGTTAATAAATGTCTGCGGACAATTATAATAAAATACCACTTTAAATTAAACTATTAGACTATAGTTTAAACTAACTTATTCAAATGGTTAAATGAAAACAATTTCAATGACAAATGAAATATTTAACAAAAATTAACATGTGTAAGATCTTGGCATACTTTTCATCATTTTCGACCTGTAAGTTAGTAAGTTGTGACATTCTTATTGTTATAGTAGACAGTAGACTTTTATAACTAGATATTTGCGTGCCATTCGATATATACTAAACGTAATATATTGAATTGGGCACTTTTTTACTACAATATCTTTTGTTATACCATTGTCAAGCAGATGAAAGTATTTGTTATTACGAAACATTTTTATTGCACGTAAAATTCATTTTAGTATGACTATTGAATATTGTTTTAGGAATTTTTTTAAGCCAATTTGATCTTTAATGTATACGTATACTTAAATACAGATAGAACAAATCAACAAGAAGACTCTCAAAAGATCAGTTAAGGGGTCAGATCTAGGTGATAGATTGTATACAGCGTTTCAGAACTTACTGGAACGATATTTTTTTTGTATTTGCTTCCCATCCCATATTTAACCCACAGATTGACGTCTACATGGAAAATAAATATACTATAGCTTTCTGCGCCTCCAAGCAACAACAAGAAGATGCTGGATTAATATTGATATAAAGACAAATTAAAATGAGATTCTACTCGTTTTTCGGAGTAATTGAAATCCGTACAATCTGACACACTCTTCAATCCGAATCAAGTCTCAGAACCTCAATAGCTGGTCTCAAGTTGCGATGTCAATCGCGCCATGCGATCCGGACGATCCAATAAATCAACCTTGGGGTAACGTCTTGAACCGGATTATTGAATTTCATCTTATACGAAGCGATGAAAATGCGCGTACTTTTCTACAATGCTGGGATCTGTATTCTGGAGCAATCGTCTTTCGACTAATGAATATTTTACATCATCATCAAGCCATTCATATCCCCCTATTGGGCACGAGTCTCCTCTAAGGCGAGGGTTTAGGCCATAGTTCGCCACGCTGGCTCATTGCGGGTTAGCGACTTCACACGTTCTCCGACAGTGAACGTGAACCTTCTTAACGTGCACATTTCTCACGTAGAGGCCGTGGTTTCGAATTCGAGCTCGTACCACTCGAGCATTTTACAGTTCACGTTTTAACTTCACCGAATAGAATGTTAATATCCAGAAACTAATAACAAATCATCCTTTGCCACGATAATGAATGTAACTGACAATTTAAACGAAAATTAATTAATTATCCTACAATGCATTGGAGGATATCTGCGGTGGCAGAACAATTGCTTCTCAATTGAGATATTGATGATCCAAATTCCTATGCCAGTGTACCTATGACTTAATTTTCAAGTTACTTATATTTTTGAGTGTTATTAGCAATACCTGTCTATAATGAAGAAAGAAACATTGTGATGAATTGATGATACCTACATGCCGAAAAAGGTTCACAACCCTTGAAAAACGTGTGACATTTCACACGATTATTGCAAATTTATTTATTTATACTCAGGTTATATAGACTCATAAATACATACTTTACAGACTAACATACATAATAATATCAGAAAACATAATTAATTATTTACACGTATTTTCTGAGACGTGTGACGCAACGCAGGTGTCCGGTAACCGGACTCGGAAACCTGACACCTTTTGCCTTCTTCAATAAGGTCGACAAATGCTCAGTTGGTATAGTCGATGCTCTAAAATACCTGAGAGCCTTCTTACGTATCCAATAGGAAATGTGAAGGAATGTCAAAGACTTTATGGTTGAAATTTGCATTTATGTAATATAATTAAAAATCAAATTAGACAAAAAAAACGTCATTCAGTAATGATGCAATGAGGAAGTCGTATCAAAATGAATTTTATGGTTCACAGATTAGAGTTTGTTTAACAGTTTTTTCCACACTTGCAACGAATTGGTGGGTTAGGAGGTCAGTTATCTTAGGGCATCGTCTGTACTCTGGCATAGACTATGTATGTAGAGGAGCGCAGTGGGACGTATGAGTTGCCAATGACAATGATATTATGATTAGAAATTCTAAAACAAACTATGTAAACATTTTGTAAGTTACAAGTTACAAACCGTTCCTTCTAAAGGACACGTCCCAGAATTTATTAGTTTCACAGCGTTGATGTTTTATTTTGATGTTTGAAAAATGCTCATGGTGATGACGATGAGGCAGAAGCTACTTACGTTTAATTGGAATCACAATCTGAGGCACGCACGCCAGAACTTTGTAAGAACCTTTCTTGACCAGATCATTGATTCCTTCTTCGACAATAAAACTGTAGGGATAATTTCCTTCAGCGAGACCATCAAAGAACATGGGCAAGTAGTGATGGAAGTCCAGTTTTTCTATTGGCACCTGGGAAAATCAGGTTCGTTCTTTGTTTATTGGCTTTTTTTAGTAGCTTACCAGTTTCTGCTGCCAACAGTAATGTGAGCATTTCTGCGTGTTGGTTTTGAAGGGTAAAGGTACTGGTGAAATTACAGGCACATGGGACTTTTCATTTCACGTCTCAGGGTACGCTCAAATCTTTGCGATTCAAGGCTGTGAGTGGCATTGCAACTGCTATTGACAGGCGTGTCACTTACCATCAGGCGCACGACTTGTCCGTCCCGTCACTTAGTATTGTAAAAAAAAAAACCTAATCAAACAAAAGTGTAATGCTTGATGTGCTGTTGACTGAATAAAGCTTATACGGGTGTATCTAAAAAGACTGATACGGTGGAGGAACCGTCATAGGTAACTCACGATCGTAGCTTCGTGAAAGATCTTTACATGTAAAGACAGCGAATATCCTTGATCATAAGTATGATATTTAGGACAAATACATACGCACATATAAGCTCTTGAGATTGAATTCATGGTATCCGAGGAAAAAGCTGAACGTAATGTACCCAATAATAGATCTCAAATTACCTTCCACGAAAGCCGTTTACCAGAAAGCGTGAATTCAATTGTAACTGGGAACTCCCCTCGTTTGTAGGATTTTCTGAACATAGTCGGTCGGGCTGGCTGAGGCTCGTAAATATTACATTTTGGCGGCGGTTGTACTATTGTGTTCTTCTGCATCGACTGAATGGTGAACGCTGGCACAATACGCGGCTTCTTAGTCTTGTACCCATACGGATAATTTGGACTAGGTTGTTTTAATGAATTCCTGAAGTCCTTCCCACATTGCTGCGGCAGACACGGCGGAAGCAACATTTTTTTATCAATCACGATATTTTCCGAAGAAAAATTAAATTGATACTTTTCGACAAGTACTAAGTCTCAAATTGGAAAAGAAAAAAAACATTGATATACACTATACGGGCACAGTTGCGAGTAAATAATCCAATAATATCTATCTAAAATGTTTACACGAGTAATAAAATAAGAAAGTAAATTTGTTCTCGGGCAGGCCCGGTTCTGATTGTTTATTTTGCAACATGACCGTTGCTTAGCAACGGGCGTATCGATTGGTCGACGGTAGCGCCCCCGCGCGGCTTCTGTTCCAGTTCACGTGAAAATATACAGGTTCATTTTTCGCGACATGAATAAATGACGTTTCCTTTAATGTGTTTTTTATTCATTTAATTTTATTGCACTTTTTAAGAACAACGCATTTCAATAGGCTAAAGTACAGTAAATAAGCGTCCTCATTGTTAAGCACCAACATCTAGCACTCATGGAATAATATAATAATTGTAACTTTTTATATAAAAAAACCGACCTCAAAAGTTCTTGGAATTACATCTACTTGACAGTTCTATTGAATTCGGTTACCGGAATCTCCTAGTTTCCACCCTTAGAAGCGGATTATTTCTTTCACATACTTATACATACAAAAATATACAACCAAATCGAGAACCTCCTCCTTTTTTGAAGTCGGTTGAAAACAGGAGCTGTGAATTACGAACTACGTGTAAGGTGTTTATTAAATAATAAGAAAAAAGATTACACAAAGAAAAAACATCATTCAGTATTGGCAACTGTTGGGGCTCATGCCCACGTATGTAATGTAGAATGATCGTAAGAATGTATGTTTTTTGTGATGGGAATTGTATGTTTCCCTGAGTACACCGTTCGGTTGAGGTAGGTTGATGCAAAATATGTAAGGCACTGTACTGCCCGAAGGTCTTTATTGTACTAAAAATACACGTAATTGTACATAAAATGTAAGCGCGACAATGCGCGCGATCAGCAGCATATTTAGGTTAAGTTACGACATATGTAATGTACTGCCCGTACATGCTCCCGACTTAAGATATAAAAAGGTAAAGATATAAAATCATGTAAAAATTAAGGTAAAAGTAAAGTAAAATTTGTTAATGTAAAGCAATACAAAAAAAGCATGTTTCTTAAGTGCTAGGTTCACATAGGTCACATAAGTCGCCTTGTCTTGCACAGCAACACAAATAGTAAAATAAAAAAATATGGCAACTCTAACTTTCTCTTGCACTTGAAGTTGATTTCTCATGTAATGTGCATGTTCCATATAAATTACAATTAACTTATTAAACACGTGCAAAATTACTTATTGTTTAATAATCTACAGTCCACATAAGGCTCCCAAAATACGCTATTAGTTACGTAATCATTCTACGTGCATTACTGAATTTGGATAATTCTCATGTAATATTTAAAAAATCACATTCTCCTTAATTCAATTAATTATCATTTACCTTCGTCAAATGCCTGAACTTAATACTTTATCAAACTATTAAAAGGCGCGACAATAGATGTACATGACATATGACACGGTAATGATGTTAAATTTAACCTAAATGTTTTGGTAGTGCGGTATTAATTAGACGGTTATAAAGCTTGTTCTAACACCTATATTGCAAATTTGCTACTATTATTGTAAAAAGTAATAATTAAATACAGAAGTAAAGCTAAAAATTTAATGATACAAACAATAAAATTACAAACAATGAACTTAATTTGAAATACTGTTGTAATGTAGCATATTCCCGGGGTGCGGTCGGGACAAGTACACTATTGTCTACCTACAGGAATTTATCCAAGGTTCTACAACTAACAAAAGAAACCAACTCCAAGTTTTAACATTGATCGTTGATCGGTTTACAATAGTAATAAATGCACCTCTTAATTATACTACAATTTCATGGACCACGCGAGGCCACTACCCTAACTAATCTAGTGACAGCGGTGCGCTAAAGAGTAGGTTTACGGGGTTGAAGGATGAACAATTCGCACGATCTGGACACACCTTGGTCACGTGCAGCAATCACTACCCAACCTAGGAGATGGCCGGGGGAGAATAGCCTGGGCACACTCGGTGGAGGTTCTTACCGTAGTAAACTCCTCCTAGGCTGTGATGCTGGTTTTCAATGGACCTTAACATCGGATAAGTATTAGAGTTAAGGCCATCTGTTATGTTTAAGCCCAAGTAGCAAAAAAACCTTGGTTATTTTCCATTAATTTCATTATCGTATCGAAAAATAGAGGTATAATTAAAAACGCATAAAGAATTATAACCAGATAAAAGTTCAAATAAACAGCTGTATGTTTCCATCTATAAGGCAAGTCCATACTGCATAATTACATATATTAGTATCGAATTTTAATCATATTTTAATGTTGATGTTTTACAATATTTGTAGTCAAGAAACTGACAGTGTTTAATACTTTTTATTTAATTCGTTTTGTGCACATAGTATTTTTAGTCTCGAAACAAAATAAACTCATAAATAACTTTTATCACAACAAACTCTATTCTGAGTCGTTTGCATTAATATTAGACTTAACTCATTCATGACGTACCATCTCAGCAAGCCTTAGGTTTGTTTGAAAAAATTGTTTCATTTCCGATATCTCAAACTAATTTATTAAAACTATGTTTTTTAAACTCATGAAAAATATTACAAGACGGCTTTATAACAGTGCGTCTAGAAACATTAAAAAGATAAAGTTGTAAACAATTTGACACGATTAATAAAAAAATATCAATTTCTTTATTAAATTTCTTTTGATGGTAAATTATAATATTACTGAAATAACAATAATATGAAATAAATTGTCCTACTAGTATAGTTACTACTATTATTACAAACAATACTGTTTTACAAATATAAAATGTACGGCTCAACAAACTCAATTGAAATCAAAGTCAAACAATGGAGTCATTGAAAAAATCCTAACAGAGGTCGAGCATCAATGAACGAATGGGATTATCCGTAGTCGCTTTACGAACTCACAATTTCTAGAAACAACATTTATAACTTCAAATAGAGGAGGACTTTTATTTATTTTAAAGAAAACTATTTCTACATTTAATGTTTGTCTACTTACATATTTATTTATGAAACATTTGAAGGGAAGTATTAGTTTGAAGTACGCTTTAGTTTCCATAAATAATACTCAATAGACTGTGTAGACATTTATAAGATGTTTTTTTTTTTAACCAAAGAGATTTAATTAGCGCTACAGACTTATTTTTTGCTAACTATATCTTTTTTCATGCGAATATACTGGTTCGGCAGATGGGCAAATTTAAATATTGAATAACGCTTTTTACTAAGCTAGTACAGTTATGTTAGTATAGTTATATTTCGTTTCAAGTTTGACATTCAAAAGAGGTTATAAACGGTTTAAATATTTCTGAAACTATTTTTTTCGTAAATGGTAAGCCAAACAATATTCTGTTGCATATAATTTAAAAACGTAGTTTGCCTTTAAATTAGAGCATTAAAAATATATGTCAGTATAAATCCAGCTTTATAATATTGAACTTAAAGATTTCGCGGCAAATTGAAGTCTGTTCGATATTTAAAATTTAATATCGCATCAGCTGTGCGCATTATGAAAATTTTTATAACGTCATCGAGGCGGTGAAGTTTCCTATGAACCGGTGTTCCACCTCTTTGGTTATTTTCATATTTTTAAGTGATTCTGTTCTTGGTCGTTTATTGCTTTTTAAGAAGCAAGGGGCAGAAAGGAAATTCCGTAATGCGAACTTAAATTTACGGTTCCTTTGTTTGCGTAATAAAATACAGTTTTGTTTGAATATGGAATGTCTTTAAAATATTCAGTTGTACCGATAGATGGCACTGATCATATTGGACTTTGTTCATAGTTCGCTATGTTATAATTTTCCCCTTGACCTACACATAGGAATTTTGTAAGATAACGATACTTCGATTCTCTCCTCACCACGCTCTTCAAAACCTATACCTTCCACATGTTCCTACATCTTAGCGATCAGAAAATTTGGCAAAATGATAATGCGTTGCGTGGAGCGCAAACTGCTGATATCGGCTGATGTGCGGACATTTTTTTTTAATATTACGTAGGCAGCAAACAATCATACGTCCCGCCTGATGGAAAACGGACATCGTCGACAATGAACGCCTGCAACACCAGGAGCGTCACGAGCGCGTTGCCAACCCTTTAAGACACTTCTTAAACCCCTTTTGAAGAACTCCTTGCAGTATTCCTGCGGGAAAACCCTTACATCATTCCACAACTCAATTGTACGTGGGAGAAAGTTTCTCTGAAACGGTACAATGCGAGATCGACTCGGTTCTAGAGTGTGAGGATAAAATGTTGCTGTTGGCATCATGACAAACAGTTCTTCAGAACATTGGCCATTGTACAAGCGATAGAACAGGCATAGAGATGCAAATTCTCTTCTCCAAGACTGTTAACGAGCGAGCGAACAATTATAATATCAGATAAGTAATGAATTACGAGTATTATATTAAGTACAGAAATTGGTAAAAATACAAAGCTCTGGCGGCCCGCCGACGACTGACAAAGGTTTTAATTATTCGTCGCTGTCAGCGAGGTACTGCACCAGTCAGTTGCTAACAAAGACAGTGGTTCAATATCGTCTGTAAGCACAGGATCCTCAATAATTCTCATAACACGTCTTTGAACCGCGTCAAAGGGTCCAAGCTGGCATTCATAACATAATTGTTCAACACAAAAAGATTATTGTTGCTTATAGAAACCGTGAGTAGTACTCAACGACCTTGATGACCCCATCAATGTTGCCACGCTGCGAGCTAACCAGGTCGCACCCTTCTGACAGATACAGCCAGTAGCGTCCTAAACCAAGACCCGTGCCATCGAGTATATAACCAGAAATAGAGACGAAATGCCAATTAATTTGTTTGAAAACTATTCTGCTATATCATTACTGTGACAACTGCGCTCCGATTAACTAGCCCAAGTTCGAAACAATTGACGGGTGTCGTCAACTGTTTCACTTCAAATCCACAACTTTAACTTGAGCTTTGCTACAATGCACGAAAATTGCAAAATTACATATTTAATGTTTAATTACCGATGAAATGTGATTCCGTTTGTTTTGTAATCAGATGTTGTGCTGTTTCTCCTACACCACCGAATAGAACAGCACGGCATTGTTAGAGATATTATCTTTATTACAATAAATACAGAATATTTTTTGGAAT